AACTTTGACTTTGATAGTTCAGTTAGTGCAATGCAGTTGAGTACAGTGAAGTGAAGTGAGCTGGTTGGAGAGCAGTTAGTTAGTTAGTGGACTGATGCATTTCGCTCGTTGTGAGCTGTTGCTGTTAGAAGCTGGCAGCTGAGGAACGGGTATAATTCTGGAACGCAGAGTATGGGGAAGGTCTGCCGTTGGAAGTCGTTACCAGACAACGACTGGTGAAGATAAAGCAGATTTAGTGCGTGCTGTAGTGACCTGCAGGGTGTGTGAATTAGCGATAGCCCTATAGTTACTAGTCGTTACGATCTGTAAGTGTTCAATAAATCCAAATACCAATCCAAACCCCGTCTATAGTTACACATACACGTAACACTATTTATAACCAATAAACTAAACATAAATTAATTCTGCTAGATTCGATGAAAGACAAATGCAATGTCCGCAACCGACTAAATCTGAGGCCGGAATGTAAAGCCAAACTCCAAATTCCATGGGTTATAAGGTAGAACGAAACAAGTTTCTTAAACATGAATAAATCAACGCTTTCCATGGACAGTCAATTGAAAGTAAACTGGTGCATACCATTAAATTCACAGAGCGACAACTGGATCCAATCCAGCACACGAGACTGTATCTACAGCCATATATAGTACCTCTCTGCGAGGATTCAGTATCCAGGGAGTAAAACCAAACCCAATGTAACTTCAAGAAAACGTCAGTTAATATGTGCGGTGTTTTGGAATGGGCTAAAACAATAAGCACACTCTTACTGATATCGTAATTTACTGCAAGCAAATATTAAGAAGCGACCTAATTTCGAACGACTTATTAAACGGTTGCAACTTACTACAAACGTGAACAAGGCAATGAACGGTAATGAACTTGCAGGTCCCATACTGACAGACTCTAATCTTGACAACTGTGGAGTAAAGAAGCGGGGTGAGACAGGAAGAGACATAAACATATACACTGTGTATTTCATCAGTTCAGAACATACTGGCCACTAGAATACTTGTGTAATGCTCAGCTGAAATGAACTGAAGCAAATGTGTTTCAGTAAAAAGCATCGTTTCAGCAGTAAAACTGACACTGAATACAACAATATTACTCATGATAAAGACAATGACAAGCTTGCACAGCAAGTATAAAGTATGCGTTGAATGTTTTGGCTCAGGTAGTAGTTGCTGATTCATGCTGCTGCCTTGCCTTTAATGGTTGTGAATTCCTGCATTCGTCACAGCTCTCAAGATTAAGGTCTTGTACTGTACGAACCTGGGGATTTCTTGACAACAAAACGTCCATAAACTTATCTACTGAGTAATCATTTGCCCAGCCCGTCACGGTGGCAGCACCGAGTAAGACGCGCCATAGACTTCGATCACCCGACCAATGGGATCGAGTAGGAAGGAATCTGCAGTTTCGATTTACCCGACAGAAATAGTTCGGATATTTCACCGTGACCTTCACAATAAAAACACAACAATTACGATCCAAACTGATTCGTTCCAGATGAATGTTCGATAAATAAATATTTTTTGTTTGTCAGATAAGTAGTAAGGGAAGTGAGAAATACAGTAGGTCATGGCTGGTCCTCAGCAAATCAATACGGCACATTTTGCCGCAGTGTAGCGTGCCCCAATTACACCAGAGCCCTAGCAACCTGTACTGTTTACAAACACAGTCACATACACTGCGACAACTTGGCGNTCGATATTTATCGACTTTCTCAAAATTGGTTAAGCGAACAAACTGAAAACTATAAACATGCTTCTCATTAACATCTACAACTTCCTTAATATGCCAAACCTTTATACTCGTACTAGTATCTTCCAACCAAACCTTTAACTGCAAGACGTCCATTTTCTGAGATATAACGCCGTCTAGCCCGATGAGTCAACGAACGTTTTGGAGGAACACATCGCCTTTATCTTCAGTGTCGAAGAGTAAACCAAGAAAGAAACAAGGAGACATATTTGGCAATCTGAGCCTGCCGCTTGCTCCTGTTGGTTTCTTGCTTGGTTTACTCTTCGACCCTGAAGAAGGACACGATACGTTCCTCTGAACTACGCGGAGTTATAACCCAGAATACCGTGTCCTTCACTTCATTATTCTGTTTATCCATCCTGAAACTCATCGAAGGATGAATTCTGATTTGAAACCTGGGGCCGGAACAGTCATTTCGCGCGCCCTTCAAGCTCTCGGTTATTTATATGCTGTTAAGTATTTGGAGGGGGGGGAGACCTCAGGGGATCTCCATGTCTCCTCAGGGATCACCCTTCCCCACAGCCACAGAGGTTCAGGAATGGGGAATGGATATTTAATGTTGTGGTCAGCTTTATATACTCACTTCGAACCTCACAGAGAACACCAATGTGTGAGGCTGTCACTTCCAGTACACTAGCAGGCAAAGAAACAATCACACTATTTGATCTTAATAAAGCAGCAGCAGAACCAATGACGGCTTCTATCTCTGAGGGAATGCCGTGTACCTCCGCGGCAGTTCAATGATAACGTCGATCCCGCATTATGGGTGGGAGAGGGGTATTACCGATATTTCAGATATCCTCACTGACCCCCACCGAGGTGGGTTTAACTCTGTGTAGTTCGGAGAGAGCCCGACGTTTCGGAAGAACATACCTCCACCAAAGCAGCTCAAACAGCAAGAATTCAGGATGAAACACGAATTTTCCTCCGACATGTCGGTTAACTTTCACTGAACTACATGACTTTACATCCCAGGAGATACAACTTATTTTGGTCATGGCTGTGAGAACCTTACATCCAAGAAAACTTTTAACATCACGGCGCATCGTCTCCTATGATCAGTTAATGACAAAGCAAAACAAATTTTCAGTTTTTCGACAGCATGTATGAAATAAGCCGATTCTGATTAGGGTGGTATGCTGATCATAAAAATTATAGCGATTTGTAATAAGCGTAGTTCTTTTATTACCCCGTACTTGTTTTTACATGCAAGACATATGAACGAACATTAAACTTATTCTGCATCTTGAAATAATGGTGTTACTTAAATGAAAAAAAGTTTCACTAGTAAAACATAAATTTTTTCAGATTACAAATGTGGTGTTGGAGAAGGATGGAGAATATCAGTTGGACCGATTATGTGAGAAATGAAGAAGTGCTAATTAGAGTCAGTGAGCAGAGAAATATCCTACATGAAATAAGAAAACGGAAGGCTAATTGGATTGGTCATGTTTTACGCAGAAACTGCCTTCTAAAAGAAGCTATCGAAGGAAAGATAGATGGGCGGATAGAAGTGACAAGAAGACGAGGAAGAAGACGTAAGAAGATGCTGGATGACCTTGGGGACAGAAGAGGATACTGTCATTTGAAGGAGAAAGCTCTAGATCGCATTAAGTGGAGGAATTGTTTTGGAAGATACTGTGGACCTGTCGTCTGACAGATTACTGATGATGATGATGAAATGGAAAAATTTATAAGAACCGTAAAAAACAAAATTGTGATATGATGGAAAACTCTTGTGTTCTGGTTTAAAATCAGCGTGTATCTCACATTTTACATGTTAGTTGTATTTACGTAGTATACTGGAACAATTATGACAAGGAAACAGAAGTACTGTCACACAAAGTTTTATTACGTACATATGCCAGGGCGTTGTCATTTTTCTGAAATTATGGATACGCCCTTTGCCCTGGACATCGTTAATAGTACAATATATGGCATTTGTCATGGGGAAAAAATTTTATCTCTAGCACGTATACATACCACTAATATCCTCAACTCCCCATGAAATGAATACCAGAGGAGGTATCGTAAGAACTTTGTTTATTAGAACGTACTAGGTGGTTAGCTATACTCAGGGTCATATATTTTCTTTTTTTAATTTACTCACAGGACTGCACGAACTTTCATCTTCTTATACCTTTAGCACATTTTTATGAAACTGGAAATACGGTAATTCTATTACACGAGTATTAATATGTTTCATTGCCTTTAATTTTATGCACCACTTTCTTTCGGAGAACACTTGAACTTCTACGTCAATGCTTTGAGTGCTCTGACAGATTCCTATGAAACTTGATGTACGATGTTTCTGTTATCGCCAATCAGTTCGTCTTGGCGCCAAGAATGCGCACATATACAGAGTAATCGATTAAATATAAAATCCAACCAATTTTTCGACATCCAAAATTGACTCCGGGTAGCGAGTTGCTGAGTTGCATTCAGTGCCACATCAAGTAATGAGAAATCGTCTGTAACATACAAAACATATCACAAAATAATCCTGAACGCCTCAAACTGCTTATGTTGTTTCGATCTCCAAGACGGAAATCGGTCATTAAAAAGTATGTGTGTTCTATGAGATACACATACAGAATATTCGTTGTAATGCTTCCGAGAAAGAGGAAGCTTGGGAGACACAGAAAGAGATCAGTGGGAAGTATTAAAACAAACATCTGAAAAATGGAATTAAAAGTTAGGTTGAATTAACTGGTTTATGTTTGCGTCCAATGCCGGATGCTGTGAACATGGTAATGCATCTTTTCCATGGAGGTGAGCACTTCTTGAGAAGCCGCCAATTGTGCAGCTATTGAAGCACTTTATGAAACCCGAAGGTTCATCACCGTGTTCACAAGAGCCCTCCATTGATTCCCATCCTGAGCCAGATCGGTCCACTCGACATCATCCCACCTTATCTAATATCAATTTTAATATTCTCCACACCCACGTATGTCTTGATCTTCTTAATGGTCTTTTTCTTTCTGGATTTCCCATCAGCATCTTTTCCATAAAAGCAGAAAATATCTTAACCCGTCGAGTAACTATCAACTCATCAAGGGAGATCCTACCATGTGTAGTTAGTTGATTAAATGGAACTGTAGATCTCTAACGCAAATCAAAAAGCAACTAATGTTCCCTCAAACGGATACGTAGTTCTCAAATGATAATCTCTGGATGTAGCATACAATCTGTGGCAGCTTGAGTTGGGTATGTCATATCGGTATTCTTTGTGTTGACAGGCATTCCCCTTCTGCTCGAGAGCCCGGTCCATCATCAGCACGTGTTCCCGATGCAGGATCACTGAAGATATCACCAAGTTCCGCACTAAAACGCACCAAGCTTTCCAACGTCGTTACATACACCACGACTAGCTAAGCTACTTTCTTGTTGCACCACAACAACTTTCCTCTATACAGCTGCATCACATTTAACACGCGGTGCATACCAACTGCGGATAACACCACCAATATACTAACTTGGAGCCAGGCTTTTACGATGTCATGCGGTGCCATCCTACAAAAATACTAGATTTGTAGGTGCAGGACTCACACTGTCACACATCCAGGAGGGGAACGCGGGAGAAAAGAGAATACCATCAATATATAAATTATAATTGACACATTCCGTAGAAGTGTCAAAGGACTTTCTAAATACCTATTATATTATCAGTATTTGGGGGTAATATTATTATATTTCAGTAATGCAAAGATAAAAAGAAACAAAGGCAGAGTACCCAAAATTTTTCTCTTAAATACTAATGATACTCGAAGTGAAATTGAAAATATGTTACGCATATTATAAATAAAATACAGTTAACAATTATAGTCTACAGATATAGCATATTCGTTTCCTAATAACTAGATTTTAGCACAACTAAGATAAACCAAGTATCTAGTTGAAGACAGTCCATAGAACCCGATCGAAGTCTCCGCTCTGAAAATACTTCAGCTGAAACGGCTGGTTTTTTAAAACAAAGTAAAATTTAAATTATCCAAATCATTCTTAGACATTTGTAACTAAGCTTTGGCCCATTATACCCACTGTCTGGCTATAATTAAATGAGCACGTGAATCATTAAATCCGTCATCATTGATCCAGACGAGTCAACCATCATCATGGGGGCCGAAGGCGGTGGTGGAGGTACTATTACCGCTGACGTTGTAACCTTGATGGAAAAGGTGAAATTTTACACCTCGTTATGCCTAGGCACTACAGCAATCATTTCTGTATTCGCTTTCCTCTTCCTCGTACCGTTCGTGGTGGATCCCGCAATCAAAGCTATAATGGCCGATTATGATCCTAACCCCGTTACATGCATTGCGGTAAGTCACACTTATGCAGAAGGTCTCCGAAACTGCTCGTGGTCTTCTTGTCGCGAGGGATGCACGACCGCAGCTCTGCGCTGTCACCAGATCTTAGTTAACTACACTAGAGTACCGTTCAGTGAATGGGGGAACAGAAGCACGGAAAATGTGGCGTGGGACGTAGGAGATACCAAGTTCTACGTGAACTCGGAAGGGTGCGGTTATCCACCGAGAGTCAACTGTTCGGAGTTCGCTAAAGAGTATGGGTACAAGAACTTGATGAAGCCCTTCCCATGTTACTACAGTCGTACATATCCCGAAAAGGTGGTGGAGAGGTATAGCTGGAAAGAGAACCTCAAACATCTGATACTCTCATTTATCGTACCCAACATCCTCTTCGGAGTGTCCATTGGTGTGCTAAGCTACTGGTACTGTCCAAGTTGTAATCGGGTCTGCAACAAGAGGACGTACGTTGACAAGTACCCGACCAAGGAAGAGTAAGTAGGAATGTTACTAAATGATTTGTGTCACTTTCGAGTTCTGATACGTGTCATCACAATTACAGCTTAACAACAAACCGGACACTCAGTGTGGATATCACGTATTATGTTCATTTTACAAAGAAACAGCAATCTGGAACAGAATAATGCGTACTACCGCTACAACACAACCGTGTCCCGGCCCACAGGAAACTTGTCGCATTTCACGCAGAGTAGAAAAGTGTTGGTACATACTTATTTACTGATGGAGCTGAGCCCTTCATGAGGAGAAGCCAAAACTGCAGTTACTCAAGAATTTCCCAGCATTTTATGGAATCTGAAGGTTCGTTACCGTGTCCACAAGAACCTTCCACTGGTCCCTATCCTGAGCCAGATCAATCCAATCCATACCATCCCATCCTATCTCTCTAAGATCCATTTTAATACTGTCCACCTACCTATGCCCTGGTCTTCCCAATAGTCTCTTGTCTTCTGGCTTTCCCACCAATATCCTATATGCATTCCTCATCTTCCCCATTCGTCCTACATGCCCTGCCTACCTCATCCTCCTTGATTTGATCATTCTAATTATACATGGCGAAGAGTACAAGTTATGAAGCCCCGCCTTATGCAGTTTTCTCCAACCTCCTGTCACTTCATTTCTCTTCTGTCCAAATATTCTCCTCAATTCCCTGTTCTCAAACACCCTCAGTCTATGTTCCTCCTTTAAAGTCAGAGACCAAGGAAAAGTGTTAGTATATCTCGAATTTATGTTTAGCATGCTGATAGTCTCATATCCGATCAATGAAACGTATACGTGACAAAATTTGACAAGTGCTCATGATTTCTTTGGCGTGGCATTAGTCCTTCCTTTATTAATTGCTAATACCAACTCCAGAAGTTGATACAGCATATTTAAGTTTTCGATATCTCCTTACTTAAAGAAATACGAACTAGACCTAAGCTTTACGTGCAGTCCATATTGATAAGGATGTGTTGCCATATAAACAACAGCATCATCTGATACACCATTCAGTGCGTGTTTCTGTGCCAACTCTTTGTATTTACGTTGTATTCCTCAACCTGGCAACAGAACTGGATAACAGAACACGAAACGCGGTTCATTATCGATGTTTTAAACACTTTTCTACTTTCGAATAATTTGGATATTAAGTACTGAGTAGAGCATTATCCATTGAACAATTACTGTATCGATCGCCACAGTGGCACCAATTAACAGCATATAATTTCATTATTTAGAATAGTGTTTGTTTGTTTCATAGGTTCTTTAACGACGCTGTATCAGCTTCTGAAGTTATGTAGCATCGGATGAGACTTGAGGATGATATGAACGGTGAGTCGAGAGGGGTTTTGGAGTAGGCGAATGTATCTTATTTTAAGGTGTTATCCCAGCATATCCCTGGAGGGACTTAAACTACATTAGTCTGGGTGTCCGGTTCGGATACAATTCATACTGAGTACACCAAATATTCAGGATTAAATAACATACCAAATTAAATTCGACATTTAAATTATTGAATTATTAGTCACCCAATTTTACAGGGGCACGCCGTAGCGTAGTTGGTTGAGGCAATATGCTACAAGCCGGAAGGTGGCGGGTTCGAGCCCCGATGAGGTGGGTTTTTTTCAATTAACCTAATTCTTCCAGCCGCACTATGGCCCTGGGGTTGACTCAGCCTCTAACAGAAATGAGTACCAGGAATATTCATGGGGGTAAAGGGCAGCCGGCGCGTAAGGCTGATAACCTTACTGCATCTGTGAGTCGATTGTCTAGAAAATGTGGGATCCCCAACATCTCACAACCCTATGGGCCTCCACGGCTTGTTACAAGGATACTTTTACTTACTTACTTACCCAATTTTACATTACGAGAATCTGCATCATGTATAAAGACGACCCTTTGGCTATATCTTGTCAAAATAAAATTATTACATCATTTTGTTTGATTTAATGGTCGCAAAGAGGTACATTCCTGATGCTGTATTTCCTTTATTCGTAAAATGCTCAAGCAGATGCTTAACAAGCACTACTCTTACTGTCTTAATGCAACGCAAGCCACTTTAATCGTTTAGCTGACACGTGGATATCACCTTCCCAAATCACAGTGCTAAACTAATACATGCTGCACATAATTAAGGCTTATTTACATCAATAATACCCATATTTTTTTTTTCGAAAGACCTGATCTCATCCGTTAGTTCAGGCCAATAACCTGATAAGAAATACGGAAAATTACTTCGACAGGTACAGTAATTATAAATGCCTAAATCCTGGCCACATTTTTTACTTAAAATCCATGACGAAAAGTAAAGCCGCCGCGTATGCAATGATCCAAGTAGTAATTCAGTGTTCAGAAAAAAAAAATATCCTGAACAGAAAATTTAATGCACATGGAACTGGGTATCGACTATATAAACTATAATTTCAGAAAATGAAGTTAGCATAAAGTATAAAGGATATATCTATCAGAGAGTTTCTATGTGTTATACATCTACATTAGTTTTAAAAGTATGTTTGCTCATATTTATACATTAATGAAAACGTATGTTCCGGTATAAAGACAAAGAGACCGCTAAGAAGTAATATCACTGAAGTCCAACAACAAATGCTATGGTTATTCTGTACGGGAACAGAGGAGTGCAGTGTACCATGTAATGTATAGCTACGTTAAAACAATACTGTAAACGGATCCAATGATGTCCAATAAGGTTTATGTATGAGTTAACAGATAGAAGTAAATCAGAGCTATAAAACTTCATAGAACTGACCAATGCATTAAATGAATAACAAATACTGAAAATCTCAGGCCACGGTTTCCTCTGAACGTGGGTGTAAGACGGGATGAGAGGTCAGAATCATAGATTTCATTCATTACAGCTACAGATTAGAATTTCTGTGAAAACGTGAGTCGATATTTATTGATCGCAAACAAGATTTCACTTCTGCATGCAATAAACTCTTGGAAATATAGGTTTCTGCTTAATATGAAATACGAATGTGTAAATTGCTTTTTAATGTATTAGAACTTATTACTGCAATGAATTTAAATTGAATTTTTACTGTATTAAATCATCCACTATTAAACTTGTACATGACTCTCAGTTATTTATCTAACCTGCATTAATTCTTTGAATTGTGAAATATTTTTAACGAATCAGACTTGTAAAAATTCTTAAATAAACGTACACGTTTTCCTAATTTGTATCCTAATGAGATATCTCATTTTCATAACAAATATTCTTGGTGCATCATAAAAAGAACAAGTCTCATGCCAAACGGAGCTAAATAAATAATATAGTGCTATTTGGACGAAAATCAGGCTTGGAAATAGATGATTTGTGGAACTTTCATACTAAGGATAAAGTCACTAACTTTTATATAATCAGGTATAAACAAATTTATTTATTGGATGTACGATTAATTTCGCATTAACTTTAATATGGGACCAACTCGGAAAAGCCTGAAGAAACTGAATCAAGATGCCAGTACAAACCGAAGGACGTTAGGTCATGACATATATCTATCAGTATGTCAATAAATAATTCTTAATGATTCTAAATATGAATTTCTTATATTTATCTTGTACATTTTCCCACAAATGCTCCAAAATGAAGTTCATACGTACGAGTATTACGGATTACATCAGAGGGTCTGTATAGGGCATGACATGGAACTTAGTGACTTTTTAAGATGCACCTACAAACAAGTCCAGCAAATATAACTAATCTGTTTGGTTAACTTCTATGTTGTGCAGTGAAAATGAGGACGATGATGATTATTATGAAGAAGAAGAATACTGAAGAATTGACATATAATAAACTTTCAGTGTGGTACTCCTGATGACTGAAGAATATTCTCAACACCGTGTCTGATTGTCAAGAGGTGTTATCGCTATCATTGGAAGCTGTCTGTGTTTCATCAAAGTTTGCTATATCACATAGTCCAGAGCGATGTCAGACAAGACGGGCACGATTGTGGGATAACAACAAACTCTTGTGCTTTTACGTTGTAATGCTCTGCGGGGCAACAAGATCATAATGACCTCAAATCAGAATTTGCATCTTGCAGAGATTGAATTATATATTTAAATTACACTACATTAGTTTTACTAAGCATGTTCTAATCATTCTTAATATTGTAAAAATGTAGTTTCACTTAAGTGTAATTAAGTTGGTTCTGCTTTCTTCTTAATTGAAAACTCGTTGCCCCGCAACCTACTGTGCAAGTGGACGTCTGATAATTGTATTGGAACTTTGTTATTTTCTGATACAGCGAATGAATGTGCCACAGGTGTAACGGCTCGTAAATGGGAAGATATTAATCAAACGCTCAAATATGTAAAGAGTACGTGTTATCGTGCCAATTTTATTACGAGATGTATGGGCTGTCTTTACATTCGCAAAACTTAATGTACAAACATTACAATTTTAATCTCCCGAATTCAACGTAGGCTAAAGAAACAAATAATGAATAATTCCAATTACTACGATGAATTTCCCTCATATTTAAGCCCCTCCTATTATAACACCAATGTATGGAGAATATCTTCATAACCACCGCTGTGAGAACCTCAAATCCCACATCAACGCATAGAGTTCCCGCTCCTTGAGACACATTTTCCACTTGCTAAATGTTATACAGCGCATGCTCCCTCGTTTACACATAGCAGAGACCCAGTTCATGTAAATATTAATACCGTACCTAATTCCCACTCTAATATTATTATAATTATTGGTTCTCATTCACACAAGGAACATACTTACTATGTTTCAGCGTTATCATCTAGAATGGTTGTGAAAATATGGCAAATGTGTAATAAATATAACCCTTTTATAAAGGAGTAATACACCACGCCAAGAAACTGTTAATAATCTATTCCATAAGCGAATTTTTCTTATGTAAATATCAGCTATGAAACAGTTATGAAGAGAACACTTTTTAATGTTATTTTAAATATATACAGCCTTGTGACTGTAAACAGGTATTACATTACTTCCATTACATATTTTTGGCTCATTTCAAATGTGTAAAACAAACTGCATAGCTTCAAATGGGATAACTTTCAGTGAATCTAGTCGATGCACATAATTATAAAGGTATGCAGTATCTGGTGATATAACTGAACTACGTAAACCAGATAATATACACGCATTTTTGCTTTACTCATACATTCCGCAGGAAGACTTCATGTCGCTGATTTTTAATGTTTACATGGATGAATCATATATTTCCCTTGTCCTGCAACATTCAAATAAAATTCTGCACACTTTGATTGACGTTTCTCTATTAAATAAGTGGGCTTTCAAATGCAGAATCGTAATTTAGTTCAACTATTTCATGTTTCCAAATACTAATTACATCTCATAATTATTTTAAAAATTATACAGTTTAAAACTCTAATAGAATACCACAGACTATAAGTAACTGACTTTAATAACTATTTCATATTTCCAAATAATAATTGAATCACACAGATTTTTAAATTTCGTATAATTTACAACTGTAATAGAAGGAAAGATTGTGAGTACTTCTCCATTTTAATAGAGATAGGTAATTTAAATTGTATAACTGTTCTATATTTGAAATTCAGTATGGAAATATACTGATTCTAAGAGCACCATTAATTCCATTAAAATAAAGAGAGGCATAAAGGTTTATTCTCGTATAAAGTCCTTAGTAACCGCGTTTGTAATTGTTCGACTGTAATTCTTTATAACATTAAAAAATACAAAATCTGCATGTTTTTAATTTTGATTCATCATTTGAAAGACATAATTATGCAATTAGCTTTAAAAAAATGTAAATAATAATGCTCGCGATTTGAATATTAATTCGTCACATGATCAGTAGGCTGTCTACTGCTTGTGTAAAAGCCAAACACGATACTGAACGGGATATCAGGAAAAACGTGTCATTCATTTCCGCAATCCACAAGAAATTCTGCCGGTCTAGAAAACCGAAAGTAACGGCCGTGGGAATCCGCTGCAGTGACCAGGCGACACCCTCTATCCGCAAAAGTTGGCACTAACTTCGCCGACAAGCGGCGGTCGATCGGTCGGTATAGTTCGCTTACGGACTACAGGCCACGGAGTTTTGCGAGAAATTCTTTCCGAAAGGTTACTATTAACATCACAAATCAATTGCTAAGAAATAATTATCAGATATGGATATTTTCCATGACATTTTACATAATAATGCATACTAGATTACTAGTCTTTGTTCAAGATTTGCTGTTCCACACTGTAATGCGGAAATGCAGAACCATATACTCGATTTAATACAGATGAGGTGGGCATCTAAGGCAACCTCGAAATTCTTCATCGATGATGCAGTTTCAAAGCTTACATATAATTTCATAATTTCACAAAAAGTAAATAAGGTAACGGAGGAACACCAGAAATGAATTCTAAAGCTTCTATAGGGCTAAACATAACTATAAATAATAATTTAAAACTAAGTTTTAATCAAATAATGCTCAGAAATGACTCGATATCACTTAAAACTGTTATGATTTACCTTCATATGCGTTTCAGAGGTTAAGAATGATATACTATACCATATAACATTAACATAAGAATTACATGCTGTAATTTAAAATCAAATCTATCTTATGTGACATGAAACTGCAACAGACATTTGTACAATGTATGACTCTTATTATTGGTACTGTTACATCAGGCAGCAACATGTTAAATATGCTGCGTTAAGACAATACAAAAATAATTAATGTAACACTTATTTTCCACTTACATCAAACTTGATACTGTTTGCTTAAAAAAGCTGAAGATGGCGTGACATTATTGCTCATTGTTTCTTCACTAAATCACGATCTTCATTCAACTGGTAAATATTTTAAAAATAAAACATGTCAAATGAAGTCACTTTGATGAAATATACTTCCATTTCCCTTTTTAACTATAATGAAGGAGGACTTCCTGAAAATTGCAAAGAATTTTATTAAGTTATATAAGTTGTCATTTTATTTCCAATTCAGCTCAATTATAACAGACACTCAGTAAAACACACTGACAGAAGAAATTCATATGTACGTAATTTTTATACGAATAGACTTAATGATTTCTTAATAATTTACTGATTGTTACAGCGCTTTGAAGGTAATACTCGTAAATCCGCCTAATGCAAAATGTCAATAAAATATTATGCACTGTAAAATTATAATTTGTGAGTGAATTATAGTCATCAAATGTGGAACGAACATCATATACTTCCTTCATTGTGGTTTCAGGCCAAAGATAACTGTAGTGTTCGTACTGCATCTGATAACATATGAAAATCGCCTGGTGCATTGCAGGTTAAATTATAACAGCATTTGCATAAATTCAATTACGTTCAGAATTTCTGTAGAACAGAAAGAGAGCTAGAGTTTTAAGATTCTGCTATTTGAAATACGTGGTTGTGTAACGGTTCTTCATTGTCACGTTATATTCACTTATTTATTCACAGCATGTTTCGACCTAACACAGCCTTCATCAGTTATATTAACTACACGTCGTAAGCTATTTCAAAGTATCTTGTTCATGTTGGGAGAACTCTGACTGTTTTTAATTAGCGCTCAAATTAATTCAAATACTGGCGTTATATAGTTAAAATACAAGTGTTATTTCTTCGAAACTATAACTGTTCATCAACCACGAACACCTCACGAAACAAAAATCATAATGTAATAATACCAAGATAAGGGCAATTCAACTGTACCTTGAGGAGCAAAAACACAATGAGACAACAAATTTCCAACCTCCAAGACATGACATATGGATTTAACTATCAACGACAATATTTTAGTTAATTAAAAAATGAATCAGTAAAACAACTTACGTAATACAATTAATGCATCTAGTGACGGTCCTGTCTCAGCAAGAACCGCGTGATATGGGAACACTTTGTTAATGCCTTACGCAACAGTGGGAGCTAAGGTCGATGATGATGATGATGATGATGATGATGATGATGAGCGACGGTCCTGTGAGGCCCAGACATGTTGTGAACAGAAAAATGAATGTAACGTGACAGCGCTGAATCATTACATAACCATCCAACATCAGCGAAAAATGCAGAAAAAAGACGGAATTTCAAATAACAGAATTATTTAAATATTGCAACAGGATGGTGAAATAGAATACAGGATGTTCCAGAAAGAACTCCTGAGTTCTAGTTATAAATATTTATTCATTGCTTTTACATAAAATTTCTTATTATCACAAACTATTAGACAGTCCCCCCACCCAAAGTTTTACTGCCACTTAGTGCAATTCACTGCGAGCACACCTGACGGTGCTACAGACGTTGCAACGAAATTCCACTTCACCCGAGATCCAAGAGCGCACAACAACAGGCACTGCAGCGACAGTCGCTCTAATCCTTCGGGGTAAATCGGGAACAGATTCTACCTTTTCCCTGCGCACGATGTCTCTGATGTATCCCAGAAGAAGTCGATGGGTGTTATGCCAGGAATTCGTTGGGGCCAACTAATCGGCCCTCCCCTGTCGATCCATCGAATAAGAAATCGTTCGTCCCAAAGCAATGCGTACAATGACACAAAAATTGGCTGGTGCGCCATCTTGTTGGAAAATGAGGCCGTCAACTTCAGCTACTAGTACCTTGTGGATGTGCCCTCTCGGGTGTGGGGTGAAATGTAATTTCGTTACGACTTCTGTTGGACAGTCAGGTGTGCTCACAGTGAACTGCACTAAATGACAGTAAAACTTGGGCAGATTATCTACGTAATACTTTTAGTTAATAAGAAATTTTATGTCAAAGCAGTGAATAAATATTTATAACTAGAACGCCGGAGTTTTTCCTGGACACTCTGTATTTCGGACTCTGATAAACTTCATTTTATAGAATTAAATCCAAATGTAACACTGTACAAATAAAGTAAGAATAATTATTTGTCAAAGCACTTCTCAAGAACTTCTTCTTTACAGTGACAACTTAAACTACATCTATAAATAAGTGGTTGCAGCAGTACTGCAGCTGTAGATGACACATGAAAACATTGCAGGTAGAGATTCAACAAAACTTAGCTAGACACTAAAGAAAATTGCAGCGAATGTTCTGCCATTACACTCATTCGTCCTTGTGTTAATACCCATAATACGTGACTTGTCATGTATTTCTGATCATGGAGCTTATTTACAGTTTGTAAAGTGTCAGTTGTTTGATTAAAAACAGCAAGCTACTGGAATGATCGTCCCACTAACCAGATGGGACAGAAACGCAGAATTCGCTTCTTAAAGATACCTTTTAATCGGCTAACTCCATGGAGCAAAGTACTTTTTGAGAATCTAACAGTTGCTAAGGTGGTCAAGTAATAACCTTCGTGTTATTGAACTCGAGATTCACCACTGCATTCACAGGAACGTGTCATCGTATAATAGATAAATTTAGTCCAAATTTTCATATTATATCTCTTGAAAACCCCTTTTAATATTATCCTCTTATCCATGCCTAGGTCTCCCAAGACATCTCTTCATTTCATGCTCTCAAAATAACATTTTTTATGGATTAAAGAAGTCTTCTGGCATCAGACGTTATAAGAAAACGTGCAACCATGGAATAACAACAAACGATTTGTGTTTCTAGAGCCATTATTATTACCTTAACCAAGGCCAAGTAAAACGAAGCTGGAATCAGAGATGAGGAAAAAAAGAATATGTCAGCCTAAAATAGGCATAACCGAGACAGTTTCTCATACACAGAAAACAAATTCGACTGCAGCAAACACGGAACAATTGATCGTGTCGTTGTAGATAAAAATAAATTAAAAAACAAAGATTTATAATGTTAATTTCTTCAACGTGCATAAAGCTGTCGGTTACTTTATTGGTTATTATATTTAGCAACGGCATATTAATTACAGGGAATACGGCATACTTAATGTCTAATTAGGCCATGATATATCTCAGATGGTTAGTGACCGGTTTCTTACGCATTTCGATGGCATGGGTTTCCGCCGAGTACTTCGGTTTTATAAAACCAATTCCATCAAATGTTCCCGTCTCTCATGTCATGTGATTATGATACAATGGACCATTTAAGGCCTATGTACCAAGGAACGCAGTCTCGCACCACACTGAAAATAATAATAATATAAACATGTTCAATTAGATGAGAAACTGGAAGGAATCAGGTATGTAGCGGGCGTGGCATACTTCAAGACAGTATTCCATAAGTTGCTTGTAACGACTGAGAAGAAGCGCGATATAACAGAAAAGTCTGTTCCTCGGCCAAGATTCAAATCAGGCACCTCCAGAATAAAAACCAGTCCTGTTTGGATTGAACGAACATTCCCGGTACATATGTACGAGGGAGAGTCAGTACACTGGTCACAAATGAATATAGAACGTAAAACATGTTATATTCGAACGTGTAAAAAAAAAAACATTTATTTCTCAACATACCCACACAAACATTGTTACACTTGTCCCATCGCTTTACCAGTACGTCCAAACTCGCAACACAGAAGTCTTGTGAGCGTTATCTCAACTCACTTCCGCACCTGGTCGAGCATCATCTGCGACTTTCGAACGATCTTGAGAGAATTTCTCGACAGAGTTGTAAACCGTTTTAAGTGAAACATACTTCCCACTGTAAACTGGAAACATTTTCTTATGAGTATCCTTTGCATTGGGTCCTTTTGCCAATAAAAAACAACCTAATGCTGATCTCGCTAGTATGGTCCTCGACGGTCGCCATTTTGACTACTGAAACCAGCCTCTGAATATGCGCATGAGCAGCTGCTATCTGAACTGTCATACAGCTGGATTGTTCTGCTACCTAGCGATACACAAGGAGAACCTATTAAATCCAATACAGTTGTTTTACTTCCATCTGAGACCTATTTACTGACTCTCCCTCGTATCATAATAATTTAAACTTAAGGTATAAGCTACAAATGAAAATCGATAATATAGGAATCTGTTTATGTGTAGAAAACATGATATTGAATAGCAGGTCCAAGACAGGGAATGGTGGCGACTGTTGTAAAGCCGTATTTACTGACAGTCATTGGTATACAATTAGAAGAGTTCGCTGTGATTTTCCATAGAGAGCGGTCCCGTTTACGTACCGAAATCTGTGTATACCACAATTGATATCTTAATTTTACGGCATATTGAAGCCCGTCAAAATTAAATTTGGGTTTTAAGTTTCAAAGTTAAACTACATAATTACTTTTTCTAATTTGTAGACCAAAAATCTTCAATAAACTTCTCCCACCAAAATTAATTCTGTGACACGCAATTAAATTACAACAAAGGGCTCTTAACGTTAAGATTATGTTTAAGTGATAAAGGTTTTTAAAAATGCTTGTCCAAAGGAGTTCATAACTTTTTTCGAGATGGATCATTTCATGTTATACTTGGATTATGTCTTAAAGTGAATGTCGCCTTAAATAAAACCAGTCTGCGAGGAAACCTGGAATTCTGTGGTTTAATTACGAACACCAGCATAAAAATAATTTTCTACGGACAGTATTAATCTAGCACCAATTATTTATGGTCTCGAAGACTCCAGCCAATTTTCTTCAAGCACATGGCATGCACATCCTCTAGTCATACACGACTCGGCAAGGAGCTACAGTTACAGAATATCATAGCATGTCTTTACTGAAGACTATCTTCAAAGATTCTATGCAGTTCTTCGATGTATCGTCATAAGCATTTGATAGAAAATGGGTAGCATAATTCAGTATAATTTTCCTGCCATAAAACCTGTCCTGTCCTGTCCCATTTTTTATAATTATCGATTTTATTTTAGGGCATGAACAGTATTTTTTGAAGCGAAAAGAGCTCCGCGGGGAAGAGAAAAACCAGAAAAAGTCCACTTATTTATAAATTAATTGATATGAAATTCTCTATCCAAGCATACCTAGGCAGTCGCGAGGGATAAGTTATCCAGATGATAGCGGATTAGTTCCTGAAGTGTGATAACTATATGCATCTACTCTTTTTTCTATTAATTTATTATTATTAGCATTATCACTATTCAGTGCCTTTACACTTAGATGTCAAAATCACTTATCTTCCTTGTGAGATGAATAAATGTACAGAAAATACAAAACACAAACGCAGATGCTATATTTAGTAAGATGCTGGTGGTACAATAGCGACGTGCGCACTAAGCTGGACCGTGATACAACGTTCGCGGTTTCGATAAAGTTCGCGAATATGCACCGCAGAAAACAATTCAAAGAAAATCAGTGATAATGTATTATTTTCAGCTCGATCGAGAATAAGCAAATTTGCTAATACGGAGGGATGCCTGTAATGCATTACTAAAGTAAATACTCCGTCTATCGATCGCCTTCTCGCCAGCGAACCTGGTGCTCAAGAGGAAAAGCTTAACAAACAAAATGGCGACGGTAAAAAGCGTTTCAACTACAGGAGATGGCGGACTCTGTCGGCAATACACGGAAGCATAGGTCACGCAAGCGCAATAATTTTCGATAGTATTTGTCAAAATAACTCCCCCCTCGTCTTCTTCAGTTCGTTGTAACGATGAACTAGACACTGCTCGCAACAAAACAGTGTGTGTGAAGTTACCTAGGCGACCGTACCACGTCTTCTGTTCTCCAACGATCATCCTGTAACGTGAGTGAATCATTGCAATGCGATGAAGATAAAATTATAGTCTGTATATTTAATCACTAATAATATAATTCGTATTATTAATTTTTAACTGTTTCGTATCGACGCTCTCATTACCGAGACTACACATAGTCGATGACAGCAGCATTAACAATAATTATTTACATGTACCAAAAGTTATGCTTAAGCTTACATATTAGATGACACTTCATTTTGTCAAATCTAAACCAATATAACAAGTTTATTCAATTGGTTTCACTGAGAGTTTTATACACCGATTTCCGTAAATACGCGTGAAGTCAAGTGGAGTATCTATGCCGAAGAATATACACTGCGAAGCTAATACGTATTATGCATTGTTGAGAAATATGCCTCAACCCGTTATAAAATTACTGTTAACATATACTACGAAACCACTTTGGAACCGAAGGAAGAAATAAGAGCCGCCAGAATGAAGTTCAAACTGTTTTCATATACTGTATACGTCTCTTTAGTACATCACGGCTGTCCAACTTGAGCCACGCGGGCAGCATGTGGCCCGCCATTTTATTTCTTACTACTAGTCTCTCAAAATAAGCGTTTGAGCTTTCCTCATCTTTGAAAGAGAATTCGGCTAATTTTTCCAAAAAATAAGAATATTAATTTTGATACATAACATTAAAGCATATAAAATGTAAATAAACGTTAATTTGATTTGTTTCATTTTTGGTCCGTCACACCAGCAGTTACAATTATAAAAGAGAAGTCCGTCCAGTGTGACTATTTCAGTTTTCTCACTTTATGATTCACTAGCCGTACATGTTTCGATCCGTTTGGATCATCTTCAGAGGCACCAAACACTTTTTAGAAATCACTATCACAACAGTTGTCATATCAATTACACATGTATTGCCAATTACACAATGTTCCATCTATCAGTCACAGCAGCCTTTCTGGTTGTAGAAATATTTAAAGTTGTTTTAAAGTTTTAAAAACGTTGTTCAAAATTAAAATTCACAAACCTTACAGTTCGTGTCAATAACCCCTGTTGTCTCTCTTCTGGGTGGCCGATGTTGTGCCTCCTATGTAACTTGAGTAAGGAGATTCTTATATAGTCCGTTATGATTTCTTGGCCCGCTGTAAGGCTAGTGAATCATCAAGTGAGAAAACTGAAATAGTCACACTGGACGGACTTGTCTTTTATAATTGTAAATAAACGTGTTTAACCGTGATATCCCTCTTCTTGTTCCTGTGCTTGTTTGCTCCATGGATTTGAACACTGCACGGCAGACATCTGTGTCGGCATATTGGGCCAGCGGGAAGGTATCTAAATTAGGCTCCTGAGTAAAGTGGATATTAAAGTGGATTAAAGCAAATTATGCGACGTTGTATCCATATAATATAGGCCTACGTTATAACAGGCCAATATCAAATTTGATTAAAATCTGCCACGCGATTAGAAAGACACGTGCACATCTTTAACTATGAACCTAAATTGAATCGAACAACAAAAGTCGAAACGGACAGATCGAAGTAATTTCTTAGATCATTAATACATTATATGAGTAGACATCTGTCTTCATGACTGTAGAGGCCTACAGACTACACGACATTTGTGACAAATCAGTTACAATAAATGACCTAAATAATTTACTGTATTCAGTGGAGATCAGTGTTCTTTTTAAGTGCAGAAAACTTATTTCTTATTATGCTATTTAACGACACTGTTTCAATTATAGAGGTTACTTAACCCTGTGATAAGTCAGATATGATTATGAATAATGAATATAGAGTAAAGAGGCTTTCGTAGTCTATTGAATATTCCGACAGTCAGTTGAACGGCCACAGAAGTCCCAAGAAATGCCTCGATCAGAATAAACGTATGCTGGACACCTTCGGGAAAGAATTGAAGTGTGTTACTGCTGCGATTACCAGTTCATTTTAAGCTGTGTACGTATCCCCACTCTCTTAAAACACTAATTTCGAGACCAGAACTACAAGAAGCCACGCATACAGGTCCGTACGAAAATGAACGAAACTAGGTCTGGTACCAGTTATATGTCGACAGAGGCCGTGTCACAGTTCAGGCGGTTAGTCGCTGGCTTCCCGGGTTTGAGCCCGGGTGGTGGACAAAGTGGCATAGGTGCAGAATTTCTCCGAGTACTTCGGCTTCCATTGCCAATCTTCACTCCATCAGTTACTCCACAATCACCATCATCTATCACGTGGGGCTGGTACGATAGGCCAGTGGTGGCCGCAGTACCACGTGGACTCAGTCTCACCCCACTAAGAGCAATAATAATAAAAAAGTCGAAACTGAACTATCAGCAGAAACTGGCCTTCAACTTTTCCTTTCTAATGCCAAGTACAGTTCCTGATCAATTGTATACCAAATTCGGTCTGCAGCAGCTGTGTCCAAGACTTACATATATTATCGTTCCTTAATTTTCTATTATATATTGTAGTGGAGTCGACCAGTCATTGGTTCAGGAATTAAACGGTTTCAAGAAACTAACAAGGGTTTACATAGATCGCTATTGCAGTGAAAACAGCCGCGTAATCCGACCAAGACTATGCGAAACGAAGGGAAAACAGTATTTTATATAGAACAATATATATTTCGCTGTAACAGTATACTGAAATATATTTTAGGTTATATTATTTATTTTTAATCATAAATTTTTAACTTGTCTTTCATTTTCTCTCTTTTAGGGGGTCACTACTTTCCACAACGTGCCTTCTTTGGACAGAAACTCTCAATCCACAGACCTATTGTAATACAAACCATAACACACATTTTAAAGCATTAGCGAACAGGAATTTAGTTTTTTAAAACTGCATTAATAATAGAATAAATTAAAACTAATAACACCAACGGCCACCGAAATAAGCATACCAAACTAAATAATTAGCTCAGTTCGTTGCAGCGTAAGCAGCCTTGAAAAAATACAGACTATAAACCGAAATCATATTTTGTCTACAAAAAATCAACTTACGCAATGCTTTGTACTCGGGCTGATCAATTAAGTCTTCGCTTAACATCGACAGATAAAGCATCACGTAACCTCGAGTTACAACATGCAAAAGTCTTCATGATTCACTGAAACGTTACAGTACATCGTTTGGGGAAATTATCTGCATTTTACAGAAGAATCATAATATTTCAGGGTAAATAACAGTAATGCTATCATAACTGTCATTACACACACAATTCCGAAGTGACCTGGGCAAGGGTGAGTTCGCTGTCACTGCTTTTACGTAAATTATATTTCAAACTGAAAATAAACTTTGGAGTTTGCACTTGCAACTGATTTTAAGAACAAATGAATTGTGAATCCGTATAATAAAGCAAGTAAATTGCATTGAATAAAATAAAAGATCCGACATAATAACAAAAACTTTAAAGGAATATAATTAGTTGATGACATGTCATTTAAAATAAACTTACATAAGTGCGCATGGTGCAAAGAAGAAAGAAAAGTCACCGTTGTGTGAAGATACATGAACCCGAATGGACCTCAGACTTATCTAAATATTAAGTGCGTTTCATTATTAGTTCCAGGAGCTATTTTCGTAAACGCTAAAAAAAAGCAAGGCATGTAACGTTTTACTGTTCCAGTGGACTATTAACAAAACTAATTGAACAATTTCGCAATTTCGTGTTATCGCTAATAAATCTGACAGACAATATTTTTAAAGAAATGTATACTGTAGTTTCATACCAATACTGCAATCTGAATCTATACTCGGTTTACTGCCGAGACACTGCGAGCAGATCAATCAAATCATATTAAGAAAACGTGACGTTTCGACAACTTCGAAACCAAATTACTCATGTTGAAATTACACTCCGAACATATACATTCAATCAAAAAACAAGTGGTGGACAAACAGTGACTGTTCTCAAAGAGAATACATCTTTAATCCACATGACCCGATATTATTAAGCAACATTAAGCATGGGCCATAAGAGGAAGCAGAAGCAACGCCTGATTCCGGAGCAAGATCGCCGGATATGCGGCAGTATCTGTTTCTGTCAACTCACAGTAGTGATAAGCTGTGTAGCTCTGGTGTATCTGACTGTAGCCATCTACATCCCATCCCACAAAGCGTTCAAATCTGGGCTGGAGCCCGTGCCGGTCACGTGTCAGACTATAAAGTCCAGTAACCCCAGGAACTGTCCGTGGGCATCGTGCGGAGAATGGTGCCTCACTAAGACGTCAGGCTTCTGTCCGCAGATCATGGTGACGACCAGGCGCAATGGTACCGACATGCAACTGGAGAACTGTTCCAGACTTCAATCCTTCGCCTGTCCACCGGTGCGTTTCAAGAACTTCTTCCTCATTCTTTGTAAAGTAGGCCTATTAGCAGTCTCACAGACAATGTCGTAACTGCAGGTAATATAAATGAGACGGGATCATATTAAATAGCGCCGATCACAGTGGCCGCGCGGTCTAAGGGTGAGAGCACACCAAGGAAACTGGCAACCGCACTTTCCGAGAATTGTTATCAGCCTGAGTTGAACACATGTTACTGGATGGAGTCAGTTTCCTTGGTGTGCCCTCGCCCTAAGTTATGAATTGCCTTTGCTCGCTCGAACAATGCGATCGTGGGTTCGAATCCCACTCAAGCCATGAATGTCTGTCTGCGTTTATTCTGTTATTATAGGTAGCGGCCTTGCGACGGGCTGACCCCCGTCCAAGAAGTACTACCGACTGTCCTAGGATTAAGAAATTGAAAATAAATAAAACATTTCACGAATGTCCTATGCAAGAGAGAAAGATAGAGATTCAATAGCAACCATTTTGTGATATTTTCTTTTTACTGTTAATGTTACTTCAATTTTTATACTCCGATAACACTGTAATAAAATATTCTACCATCATCACTGCTGAACATAGCCTGTAGAGACACTGACAGTTGTAATAACATAAACTGGAAAAAAAAAACTCTGGATTTCACAAGCTGAGATCATAAAGTTAATAAGAATTAAGTGCTAAAAAAAAGGTACCATTGTTTAATATTAGATGCATATAAAAACTTTCTAATTTAAGACTGCTAAATGCGTTTGTGGAGACATTTACAGACGATAAGGTCGTTCTTATTAAGTTGACGATCCATCGAACTGAGATCTGATTTCCACAAGCCCTCCAAAAAAATAAGAACAAAAGCTTTAACTGTGAATCAGTAGAAGTTAGAAATATGTTCCGTCTAATTTATATCACTCTGTGGCAAGGATTAAAAAAAACTTCGGGTTCAAGTCCCGATGGGGTCATTGGATTTTTTTTTCAGTTGACCTAATCCTTCCAGCCGCACTATGGCCCTGGGGTTCACTCAGCCTCTAACAGAAATGAGTACGAGGAATTAATTAAATAATTTTCCTGGGGAGTAAAGTGCGGCCGGCGCGTAAGTCTGACAACCTTACCGCCATCTTTGAGCCGATTGTCTAGATAATGTGGGAGCCTCAACGTCTCAAAACCCTATGGGCCTTCACGGACTGGTACAGGGATAGCTTTACTTTTTACTTACTCTGTGACCAGCTAAATGCAAGGTCAGATATGGAGCTCCCAAAATGCATGCCCGGGGCTGTGATAATGTGCTGCCTGGTCAAGAGTGACACGTATCTCAGAAACTATGCATGACAGATGAGTATGAAGCAATGCCGTATAGATTAGTAGTAAAAGCTAACGAAATAATAAACTTAATGGCATGGAGTGATTACAGAGTACGGGGCGCGAAAAGATAATGACAGAGGCAATCATGATCTATTTCAAGCCATTCTCTCGACATCTTTATGCTTAAACCGCAAGCAGGATAGCTGAGAAAACGCGTGCAGTGTACACATATTTATTATATACTTCACACAATGTATAATGTTCAACATTAGCTAAGTGCGTTGTAATGGAACAATCACTGATACAAACCTCTAAAGAACATTTATATAGTTAACACAGTGTCGAGACTAAGAATGTGTGGAGCAATATCTCCACCCCATTGGTCTTCATGGTGTGGTGCTTAAACAACATATTTAGTATTTATGTAGCTGAAAAAGGATGGATAAATAAGAACGAATTATTAAACGGTATGTATATACTCGTATAGCGCACCAATGGGAAGACCAAGACGTAGGTGGGTGGACAATATTAAAATCGATCTTATCAAGATAGGATGGGACGGTATGGATTGGCTTGATCTGACTCAGGATAGGGATCAGTGGAGGGCTCTTGTGAACACGATAATGAACCTTCGGGTTCCCTAAAATGCTGGGAAAGTCTTGAGCAGCTACACAATTGGAGGCTTCTCAAGAAGGGCTCAGCTCCATGAGTGAATATACACGTATAAAATGCTGTGTAGTCCGTTGAAAGCCAACCGACGTTTCGGAGGAACATATCACCTCCATCTTCAGGGTCGAAGAAACCAGCGGGAAAGTAGTTGGACAGCATAGCGATGTGTTCCTTAGAATCGTCGGTTGGCTTTCAACGGACTACACGGCGGTATATCCCAGAAGACAGCACTCTTTATAACAACCGCAGTGAACGCCTCAAATCCTACATAATAATAATAACAATAATTATTATTATTATTATTATTATTCAATTCAATTCGTGTTTATTTACGTGCAAACTTAACAGCACAGAGGCCAATAAGAAACATGGCACGAGTACACAGAAATACGGATATAACTAAAAGACAAAATACAAATAAGACAGTCTATATAATGACATTAAATTAATAATAATTCCAAGAAAAATTAAAGTTAGCATTAACAGGTGAGAAAATAAAATAAGTACATTTCGAATAGTTATTCCATTGTGGTGAGAAAGGACAGTACACATACATAAACACACAGAAGTTAATAATAATAATAATAATAATAATAATAGTAACCCAATTAATTCTTATTTATTTGTGTGGCAGCTGAACGTCCTAATTCAATTCAATTCAATTATTCATAATAATATGTTTTATCTGCAGGTGGACACAGCAGCACTGAAGAAGTTCAACTGCAACAATGGGTCCGAGTGCGGATCCTTGACAGGGCTATTCAACTGCTCGCTAGGACACTGCGCCAACTGGAGCGATGCGTATCAGTGCAAATACAAGGCGGATGGCATTTCACTAGACAGTGAGCGAGATAACATGAAGATGAGCGGTTTCTTTGAGTGTACAAAATCTCGTTGTGTCGAAATAAAACAGCAGTTAATTTGTGATCGTTACTGTAATAAAATCGCGACAACAAATGCTAATGTATTCGTCTTATATGATGATTTCGTGTACAGCGGAGAGTGTACAAATGTTTTCGCGCTCACAAGTACAAATGGATCTGATCCAGGCGAGAGAATAGAACCCACCGAAATTTGGCACAGGAACACAGATCAAGTTCTGATCACATCGTGCCAGACAACGACGAAGACAACAGACGGTTTAGGCCTAAAGTAAGTAAACTTTATGCATACGAGTCCTTTATTTTCCATTGTATAAAACAGAATAGCATGTACCAGCTATTTCATTCTTGGCTCCGTACAAACAATTATTATCACTCCTGTTACTTTTTCCTTCTCGAAGTTGACCCACTCCGGAAACTCTCAGAACTCATCACATTTCGAGTGGTTAATTAAGTTTTCCAACAGCACCTATTTATATATTAATTATAGAGCATAAATATGTACTTTTTAAAACATACATATACTTGAAGAAAGCAGTCTTCTGGGATTTGGCACCGTGTATATGCAGACTGCTTTTACCGGTTCTCACGGTCTCTTCGCTTGCAGATTTCTTATTTTTTCTTCTATCCTGAAGATGGAGGCGATACGTTCCTCCGAAACGTCGGTTAACACCACATATACATGGTGCCAAATCCCAGAAGACTGCTTTCTTCATAGTCACCGCCGTGAAAGCCTCAGATCTTACATACATATACTTCTTTGCCAAGTTTAGCAGAACACTATCTTCCCCATAGACTCTTAGGTTTTCAGAACATGGTGTTATGGAATGAACGACTTGATATGCATTTGCGTTGGTTTGTATTATACATGTATTGTATGTATGTCTGTACGAGGGGGAGTCAGTAAATAAGTCACAAATTGAAGTTAAACAACTGTAATGGATGTAATAGGCTTTCTATGTGTATCACTAGATAGCAGTATAGTCCAGCTTCATGAGAGCCTAGGTAGCAAGCGCGCGTGCAAATGTTCAGAGGCTGGTTTCAGTAGTCAAAATGGCTACTGTGCTTGAGGGTGTACTGTCGAGATCAGAGTTCTGTTGTGTTATTTTTGTGGGAAAGGACTCAATTCAACGGGTATTCATATAAAAATGTTTCCTGTTTGCGATGGGAAGTGTTTGTAGCGTAAAGCGGTTCAAAATTGGGTCGAGAAATTCTCTAAAGGGCATTCGAAAGCCGCAGATGATGTCCGACGAGGTGCGGAAGCGACTAAGACAACAGTCAAAAAACTTCTACGGTGCGGGTTTCGAGGCACTGGTATAGTGACGGGACAAGTGTATCGGGGTGGGTGGAGGATATGTCGAGAAATAAACTTTTTTTTCCAGGTTTGAATATCAAAAGTTTCACGTTTTATATACATTTGTGACCTATTTACTGACTTCCCTCTCGTATGTATGAAAAGACCTGCTGAGTCATGAAGACAGTGGAGAAAAGTAGGGGAAGGGAATTTCGTATCAGCCAACAACGTTTAGAAGTGGAAGAAGCTTCCATCCACCATCAGTATTCAGTCAGAGAGTATGTATGCATGTGTGTATGTATACATGTATGTGCTATGGAATATATGTTACTGGCATGATAACCAATGGATTTTTGGCGAAGTATATAAGTTGTTCAAACTTCAAATTTATATTGACCCAAAGTTAGAGAGGAATTTTTGAAGACTGGTGAATGTAAATAAAATCCGCTATACTGTCTGATTTGTTCCTCCCTAAGAGCAACAGATTGTATCAACGGCACACTTCTGGACGAAGATTTAATCCCAACTCCATCGATGAATTTCACGACACTGTGGGCCCTATACGCAAACAAGACGCGACCTGTGGATCCCACACAGAGGTTCCTGCCCATGCAGTCGGAACTGACCATCTACAACTCCAGCAGGCTGTACATTAACCTGGACGCCTGCGTGAACACACTCCGAGGAGAGTGTAAGGAATTCTTTGGCACCCACGGCAGGGACGGCAGGAACAATTCGGCGCAGTCGCGGTTTCCCTGCTTCTATGATAAGGTACAGCAGCGTTCCTTACCATCTTGCACAATATATCAGATTTCAGCAACTGGCGGCACATCAAGTCACGCATTATTCTGATGTTTTGTATATACCTGTCGAAACTGTGGCCTCACCCGGGAAATGCTCTTCAACAAGAATGTAACCTCAACGTAGGAAGCACTACTGACTGTCTGCTCTTCAGGCAAAAATTCTTTACGGATCATGACCTGGTTGTCAAAAAATATGATTAGCTTGGTTTTCATCTTCTACTTTTGCAACAGACATGTTCTGAGCCTTGATGATGACTTTGAGGTCAACTCCATGCTCTGAAGTTTCGTCTCTGGGTCATACTAAATAGAAATGACTCATCTCCAGTTACACTGAAATCAGAAAACTGGGATTGTCTTGACAAGTCTAGATGAAGCCTTGGCATGATGTGAGCCTCTGTTGCTTCTGCTCATCCGTGAGTCTGTGTGGGACAAATTTTGGCTTATCATCCTCTTCCGTAAATCTTCATGGATGTATGAACCGTCTCCTTATTGATGGTTAATTCAACCGACATCATTGTGAGTCATCGACGATCTCGTGTAATTCATGGTAATTTGCGAATGTGTCGGTATTTCGAGAGGTCGAAGGGCGCCCGCTTCTTGGATCATCCTGGAGATCCTCACTACCGTCTTTGATTCGTTTAAACCACTCAAATAGGCTTCATCACCAGAGAGTTTGCAACATTCTGTAAGTTTCTGTCGGCGTTTCACCCAGTTTCACACAAAATGTGATATTCACTCGTAGCTTATTGACAGCAGTTAAAACACAACTCACTGAGCTCCAACTCATGAATTATAAGTGACTGGACTTGTATGGCCCTTGTCATGTGTTGGTAAGAGATAGAACTAAACTTAGATACCACTTCATTTCACCGCCACTTATTGTGAACTCTGCAGCACGAGTCTGAGGACTTTATTGCCACACCTCATATTTCAACTTTCAGCGGATACGCCACAGTATATTTTGATAGGGCTCATTCTCCAGATATACTGTCTGTATTAGAACCAGATTAGCATCTAATATCCAGTTTATTTCCTTGCGACGATTACATCTTGTTAAATCCCCGAAGAGTCTCGGTCATACAAAATCATCTTCAGGGAGTGCGTCATATTTAAGGCAATTTTCGTGTTGTTCCACCAAATTATATCACTATATCATGCCGTTTTCAATCACAAACAAATAGTTCCTGCAGTATTCACAGAGATATGCAAACACTACGCAGATACTGGGATCTCGACTCTTCGGGCCTTTTGTAGCAAATATGAGGAAACAAACAGATAATTAATAGTTTAAAATGAAATTTGACGAAGTATACAATTCTCACTTTGTAGACACTCTTTTCTCTCGCTGTGATAACGCAGAACCGGTTCCATGAATATTCTCATGTCAATATAACGCAACCCTGAATGCAGACATTTGGACGGCATTTGGCTCAAAAACATTACTTCAGACCATGCTTATTCATTATACACGGAATAAAAATAATCAGAAACAAATATTCCACTATGCTTTATCCTTCATATAAAATAGCCTCAATTTTTAAGTTATTAGTTTCATATTCAGAGAACACTTGTATAGGAAATCAAAACTTGTGAATCCAAATAGGAGAATGAATTCTGACAAATAATATATGCGCCACTTTCTCCACTTTCACGAACACTGTAAGGAAGTCTATATAAATATCTTGTTTCAAAATGCAAATAACATTAAAATATTAGCATCAGGACGAAAGTGTGATTTTTTTCTGTAAATCTGCCTCACATAGTGGAATTCATAATTATATTTTAACGACTTAAACTTCAGCAATAATTGCATTTCCTATTAAAACAATCTGATCGTTTCTCTTCGAATTCTTCCCTAAAAGTTCTCTGAAAATCATCATGAAGTTCAAAAAAGAATTTGTGTACTTTCTTTCATATTATTAAATCTACAGGATATTGAAATTATAGCTCCATAATTACGAAATGTACTTATTGTGTTTTGTACATACATAGGGGTACTTATAATGCAGATTCATATTATCTCAAAATTGTCGGGCATAGCCTCATATTTTCGAAAGTCTGCAACTTAAAAACATATATACTAAACATAAAGTGTTCCATATACAGTTTTTATGCATATTTTTTATTTATCCTCATCCAAATTTCGTAAGTGGGACAAAAATAAATATAGATTTTAAGCGACCGCCATAACCGTCTACAAAAACGTATCTTAAGAGAAACTGCATAAGTTTACGAAATTTATTAAAATACAACATTTAAGGAGATCCTTCAGTGAGTTCCGTTAATATCTCTTTCATCTCAGAATTTCTTATGGCCACCATTTTGGTATTACTGATCATATGTTTCATGTAAGAACAAAGTGTCATGAAAAGAAAAAAAGAGGAATATGCTGATTATTTTATTTTCTAATTTCTTACTGTCGCACACATATGGGCGATTGTTGATACATAAAATGTTATAAACATGCTCTGTACTTATAATTTCTTCCTTAATATTAGCATCAGAAATTTAAAGAAACACTTCAAGAGTACATATATCTGTTTCTGTCTCTCACAGAACAACGACTTTTTCGTAGTGGCGAGATTCGATCTACAGAAGACTTGGCGAGAGCTGGTGATCGCTGTAGTGGTTCCAACAGTTATGTTTATCGTGTCTTCAGCCACTCTGTGTATCATCACGCGATCGGTTAGTGTGGGAGACGACACTAAGATGCGCTGCAAGTACTGTGTTGGGAGCGGAGACATGAACGATGTAGACATGAGCCTCAGCCGTGGGGCTACTAGAAACAACACGAACGAATGTCTTCTGCCACGCTCGGAAGACAATGTAAGAATAAACACTCGATTACTCAAGCAATTATTTGGTATATGGACCTCTTGAACAACTAACATTACTCAGATAACTAAACAATTGCTTCAGGTCAATCCGAAGGTTCATCGCAGTGTTCATACCAGTCCACACCCTCATATCCTGTTTCTTTTTATTCATTCTGATATCTTCCATCCACCCCTAGATCTCTCGAGTGATTATTTTTCTCCTATAATGCTTCAACCAAAAAACAAAACTCCGTGGCTTTGGTCCGCAAGCGAACTACGAGTATACGACCAAGCGACCGCTGCTTGTCGGCGAAGTTAGTGCCAGGTCTAGAAAACCGAGATTAATGGTAGTGGGGATTCGTTGTGCTAACCACGCGACACCCCCTATCCGCTGAAGTTCTGCAACCAAAATTTTGTATACATTTCTCATTCCACTATGCATGCTACTTATACACGTACCTCATTATTTCATAAAGTAGCATATATCACGCGAAGAACACAAATCATGAAGCCGCTCATTACGCAACAGTTTTATCTTTCTGTTAATGTTTCTTACATTCAAACACCTTTCTCGGACCTGCATTCTAGATTACATAGTACATAAATATAAAAATTACAACGTCACTAGAAAGTTACATATTTGTGAATGCGGATTTCCCCCCCCCCACACCAAAAAAGATACAATTTTATAGCTAATGCAGTGAGACTGGCATGACCGCCATACAATGGGAAGTCCAACCACCTCCATTCATGCCAGCAACATCAATGTAGTAGATCCGCTAAACCCAAACACAAGCCCTTTCACTGCCCCCAGTTCGCCCCTTCTCCCAGCGCCAAGTGCCATTCGCCAATTATTGTTAATAAAAAACTTAAAGCTATGCCTGTAACAGGCCGTGAAGGCCTGTAAGATTGTAAGACGTCGAGGCTCACACATTGTCTAGACAATCGGTTCACAGATAGCGGTAAGGTTGTCAGACCTACACGCCGGCCGCCTTTACCCCCAGGAAGATTCCAGGTACTCATTTCTATTAGAGGCTGAGTAGACCACAGGGTCATAGTGCGGCTGGGAAGGATTGGGTAAATTTAAAAAATCCAATGACGTGACCGGGAATCGAAGCGGCGACCTTCNACCTACACGCCGGCCGCCTTTACCCCCAAGAAGATTCCAGGTACTCATTTCTATTAGAGGCTGAGTAGACCCCAGGGTCATAGTGCGGCTGGGAAGGATTGGGTAAATTTTAAAAAATCCAATGACGTGACCGGGAATCGAAGCGGCGACCTTCCAGCTTGTAGCATAGTGCCTCAGCCAACTAATACCACTGGAAGCGACAGAAGATCTGGGAGCTCAGTTGTTATACATCTTTGCCATGATCATCATAAAACATTTAATGTACCTAAAACTTCAACTTTTATTCATTTTCCACGTTAACCTGCAATTTTCTCGTTCTTCATTTTCAGGCTACTACGTAAGAACTGACATGGAATCAGACACCGGTTCCACAGTGTGCTGCATCAGCTTCGAAGACGGTTTCAACAATGAACGAGCCCTCATGGAACAGTGACCAGTATCAGACCATCAAAACAACGTGGAACTGGTAAAGAAACTCGTCATTAACACAGCGAGTGGCCGTGTAACTTTGTGTGAGCATTAATTCGATTAAGTTTACATAAATACTGACTACTGCCTTTTCATGTGTCGGTGTTCAGAAACACAGCCTGAATGCTTTCATCTATTTGAAATGTTATATCTCACAATGCTTTCTTCGTACGACATAAAACGAATTAAGCGAGGAAATGTTAACCAATCCAATTTGTTTCTGTTCTCATGTGCTGCTAGTTGTCAACTGCGTTTTCAGTCCTGAACTAATGTGCTTAAGTTAACCATATCTAAGAAATGGTTTAAATGTCAAACGTCTCGAGAATTAAGGCGCGTGTAAGGACACGGCTTCTGGAAAATGACTTACTTACTTACTCATGGAGCTGAGCCCTTCTTGTGGGGCTGCCAATTCTGCAGCTACTCAAGAACTTCTAGCATTTCATTAAACCCGAAAGTTCATTACAGTGATCACAAGAGCCCTCAACTGGTCCCTATCCTGAGCCAGATCGATCCAATCCATACCATCCCATCCTGTCTCTCTAAGATCCATTTTAATATTGTCCACCCACCTACGCCTTGGTCTTCCAAGTGGTCTCTTTCCTTCTGGCGTTCCCACCAATATCCTATATGCATTCCTCGTCTCCCCCCTTCCTGCTACATGCCCTGCCCACATCATCCTCCTCGACTTGATCACTCTATACTTGGAAAATAGTATAAGTTATGAAGCTCCTCATTATGCAGTTTTCTTCAACCTCCTGTACCTTCATCTATCTTCGGTCCAAATATTCTCCTCAATACCCTGTTCTCAGACGCCCTCAGTCTATGTTCCTCCCTTAAATCTGGAAAATGACATTGGAAGGAATTCGATACCGATTCTCATATTTTAGTCTTCAAGTCAGAAGGTGTATAAATCACGGATATACCTATGTGAATCAATGACAGCGAGAAGCAAACGTGGAGTTCGGAGATTCCTAGAGCTTATATTATATAGAACATTATCCATAAATTTATTCAAGATATCTTATTATGGGAAATACATAATAGAAACACTTAGATATTTGAAGAAGTTCCTTTCCAAAGAAAAACAAGTTCGACGAACGTACACTGTCGCGTAAGGCAAATCTGTGCCTTTGAAAACTATTTTGACCCTCTGAAAGAAAGTCACAGTCAAAATAGTACATCAAAACTTTGTCCTATGATATTTCAAAACTACTGACTATGGAAAATATTTGGCTCATAATATTTATAACTTATCTGATGTACTCGAATAAAGGGTAACTTATGCTTTGACTACAGAATTGAACATTATCATAACTCAAACCACAGAGTGGCACATATTTATAACACCAAGAGTTCTATCTTCTGGGACATAACGTCGTGTAATTTGTCATATCTCAGAAGATGAAACTCTTCATAACTACAGGCGTGAGAACCCCAAATTATAATATCAAATTATGTAAAAATCGGTCCGCAAGCAGTGCGGTTGATGAACGCGTTAAGGCAACCGGATAATTAGATATGACAACGGTTCGCTTAGTTATGAAAACGCTTAAAAATCCACGCCATGACATAAAACACACGCCCATGTGAATACTTCTACAAAGCGAAACAATCATACATTATGTATTTAATATAAACCACTCATTTTTTAAAAGGATGGCCGCCGTCTGGTCTCTTTTTCTATACACAGATTTACTTGGTACTGTTTACGGCTTAATACAAGTATAACAAATGAACTCCATTATATGAATATGCTTCCACGTTTTTCATATTAAGATGGCGCCTGTCATTCCATTTTTATACATTTTCCGTGGTTAAGGAGTTGCCATAAACTATACATTTTCCGTGGTTAAGGATGTTGTCATAAACTATACACTGTGCGCACGAGATTAAATGTTGCTAAAATTCTTTGCGCTTCGCTAACGCATGAATTGCCTGGCACACGGTCGATGTTTCTTGTGTGAATGTGCGAATTATAACGCGTGGCTTGAAACTGGTGTCCTATCATAGCAGGCTTGCTGGTGCTAATTGTGACCACAACACCTCAAAGCAGAAGCGAAATCTAAACATGAACCATTGCTTATATTCGCATTATCAAAGTGTGTGTTTATCAAGCGATAGTGGCCTACTTTCCATGGATGTATTGTTGATCACTTACAAAGTAAACAATTCACCAGGTAGAAAATCAACTCTGAAGAATAGCTACGGTATGGGAAAATGAAAACTATAGTTTGCAGTGTGTGAATATATGAACTCATGATATCACTGAGTCTAGAACAGACATATGGAATCTGTGGCCATCGGGTGGTATGCGACCCGTGGATTTTATTTAATTTGCCAGCGAATATGATATGGTCTTCTTTACAAATACGTTCGTACCTTATTTAAACAGTCCTTAAATTCCTAGTTTGGTTTGTGCTACTCGATCCACATTGCTTTGTGGAATGTGTGCTGTATCGATACATCGACGCATGTTTCGAGAGCCTTATCATCACCAGCTCACAAACATTTCGAATCGATGCAATTATATCAATTATATTTATTATATCAATTTCGACCCAATTTCCTCTCCAATTGTTACCGAAGGATCCTTCCCCGGAGGTAAAGCGGCAGTAGCGTGAAGCTGACCACTCACCTGCAGCTAGTGCCGAGATCAAGAAACTGTGGATTTGTACGTGGTGTACTGCTGAATTAGTTAAGCACAGGAACAACTTTACCTTTTACCTATATCGATTTTGACCATAGAACCAAAGAAGCCATTGCTGAAATAGCTCTTTAGCTTGTTTACCAGAAGCAGAACGATCACTGGCGGATGGCACGCTCCCTCAAAGTATGCGACACAGTGAACGTGCATCAGTTGCAAGACTCAATATCCAACTCTACCACTGAGCACAAAAGTCACAAAACACGTGACATCGTAGTTTCTACATATCCGCTTTGGAAAATACTTTATGTCATTAAATACATAAATATGTGGTATGTGGTCCAAATTTCATATTAAGACGTAATGTAGCTCAGTTAGGCAACTGTAAAATTCTAATTCTGGATACAGCATTACTTTATCGTTATTATTACTACAAAACTGCGAAAATAAATTAATCTGTGATTTCAAGGGAAATAACAAGCGCTATGTTGTACCACTTATGTATATTACAGCCTATAATATGTGTTAAATATGACAGTATTCATACATTAAGCATATGTAGTATATTTTACGTGTAAACATAACATATATATATATAGAGAGAGAGAGAGACTATGTATGCGTATATTCATAATAGAACAAGTGCGTTTTGGAAAACTATAACATGCGCATCATATGCACAAAGGATTGCGTAAAGAAGTTTAAGGGAAAGCTCCCTGTGACCGTATTTACTGTATTGAGAAAGGGTATTCCCCAGAGAAACGGTGAGTGGAGGCTTCTGCGCACCAACGCAAGGAGTTCTAGCTACAACAGATAACCTGTAGACCTAATGGGACTAGTCAGATAAGAATGTTACATGTATTTATACATGTACATTCCATAAGATATGTGGTTAGACTGCAGTCAGGTTCTCGGTTCGTGTTAGGTTGACAGATATGGGGGATAATTCGTCAAGCAAGCGAAGGACAACTCCTGAAACTCAAATTTTATGCCTGAAATAACTTTCTAAACCCGTCCTTGATGGTTATCCGAATTTTTATAATACAGGCCAAGAAACAATGTAAAACGCGCAAGACAGGTCAAATTTGGGGGCACTAACACGTACACAAAATATTATGGAAGTGAGACAGGACATTGGTGAATGTATTCCTTACGGCGAATTATTTTCCACAATCTTTGTGTTCTTTTCAAAACAATTTTCTCTGACTAACTAACTTCATGGAACTGAGCCCTTCTTGAGAAGCCACTAATTGTGTACCTACTCAAAAACTTCCCAGAATTTTATGGAACCCGAAGGTTCATTACCGTGTTCACAAGAGCTCTCCACTGGTCTCTACCCTGAGCCAGAAGAAACCAGTCCATACCATCCCATCCTATCTCTCAAAAATCAAATACAATAAAAATATTAAAACATGGACAGAAAAAGTTTGTACCTTTCTTACAATTACGAGTATGACCAATATAGTATGGCGTAAAGTAAGGGAACAGTGTAAAAGAACACGCCGTTGGATTACGAGTATAGAAACAACTGTTAAATTAACTACATTTAAATACGATCTAAAAGTATGTGACGATAGTACACTAATATGCAATTAGCGACTTAGTTCCGTGCTCACAAAGAGTGCCACAAACACAGTAATACAACATTATCAGTTACTGCCGTGGCTTCCAGAGTTCACAAACACGAGCTCTGGAGCTCAACTGGTAGCAGAGGAATCAATGATTGCGTGGTGGAACTGCATCACAACAGCTAATGTCTGGAATACNCGGGTGGTATGCGACCCGTGGATTTTATTTAATTTGCCAGCGAATATGATATGGTCTTCTTTACAAATACGTTCGTACATAATTTAAACAGTCCTTAAATTCCTAGTTTGGTTTGTGCTACTCGATCCACATTGCTTTGTGGNTATATTTATTATTCGAATATTTTAGGGGGTCATCCTCTGTGAAAACATATATTTCTCTAAGTAGATTCTAAAGGTTCTGACAATGGTGTACGACACTTAGGATTACTGGGTTTTTGGACCTCGTCCATCGCCCGGTATTTTAATTATTTCGGAGACTGGATCTATATCCGTCCTCAGGTGAAAGGGNATGGTTTGTGCTACTCGATCCATATTGCTTTGTGGAATGTGTGCTGTATCGATGCATCGATGCATGTTTCGAGGGTCTTATCATCACCAGCAAACAATCAAACATTTCGAATCGATGTAATTATGTCAATTATATTTATTATATCAATTTCGACCCAATTTCCTCTCCAATTGTTACCGAAGGATCCTTCCCCGGAGGTAAAGCGGCAGTAGCGTGAAGCTGACCACTCACCTGCAGCTAGTGCCGAGATCAAGAAACTGTGGATTTGTACGTGGTGTACTGCTGAATTAGTTAAGCACAGGAACAACTTTACCTTTTACCTATATCGATTTTGACCATAGAACCAAAGAAGCCATTGCTGAAATAGCTCTTTAGCTTGTTTACCAGAAGCAGAACGATCACTGGCGGATGGCACGCTCCCTCAAAGTATGCGACACAGTGAACGTGCATCAGTTGCAAGACTCCAT